GATAAATTTTTTTTATCCAGTAACTCTTGTACTGTCTACTTAACTCCCAGTAGTTCTGATCTCGCCATCCTGTACGGAACCTTGGAGATTGGTTGGGTGCCAGGCTAGATCTCTATGGTGAACTCGACCTCTCTATTGGGTGGGAGTCCCAGAAGATCGTCCAGAAACACGTCCGAAAAATCTCTTACCACTGGTATCTCCTAGAGTGTAAGTCTCTTACTTTTGTCCCATATCAAAGACATAAATAAAGTTGTAACTTATGCATATATTCTTTCTAACACATCATCATAATGCAAACACTTATTTATTCATGGATTTTCCCCATACAGTAAAAGGTTCTTCGTTAGGGATCTTAAACACTACCCTTTTGCAGAAACAGTCTACATGAGCATGTTGTGCAGCAAGCTAATCCATTCCCAATATTACATTAAAGTCTTTAATGTCTAGTAAAATTAAATCTACCTTTAACCTTCTCCCCTCTATTTCTACTCTACATGAGTTAAACATTACATTAGTACATAAAGCGTCATTAGTTGGCGTAGATATTAGTAATACCCGATCCAACACCCGAGGTTCCATCCCTATTCTAGATGCGAACCTAGGCGATATAAATGAATATGTGGCACTAGGGTCAATTAGTACTCTATTAGGAATATCTGAAATGTAAAGTATACCTTGTATTACTTCTGAAGTAGTGGCTGCCTCTGGAACTGTTATGGCAAACACCTGTCCTTGCAGTTATGTTTTCTTTTCTATTTAAACATGTATGTCGAAGGAACAATTATGAAATTATTTGGCAATAAAATTGTGGTTGGTTTTTTACCCTAAGAGAAATGTCTCTGTAATTTCTTGTTCTGTTTGGGACTCTATTAATCTTCATTGCTCCTTTACTTCCAGTTTCTATATTTATCTTTCTCAATTTTTAAGTTACTCATTTTCTTCTTTACGTCATCCTAATACTCTTCAACTAGAAGTTCACAATACCATTTATATCTTCTCTAATTAATGTTATGTAACCTCTATTGTTTTGTCTCTTTTACAATCTCCCTTATTATTGGGGTCATACTTCTCATAATTGTTTTGTCTTTTGTTGGTAGCATGATCCTGCCTTTACTAGCATTGGAAAAAAATATATACATTTATAGTTTAGACATTTTCCTTTCATCATGTTATGAAGTGCCACACAGAATTTCAAAATGATGAACTCGATTCTTAAAGAAGCTTAGGTAGCAAATAGTATATGAATAATTGGATAGAAGACTGATGGTCAGTAACTAGTCATCAATTGTTACTTGATAGAAACTAATAGTTGGTAATTGTTGAGCAGTAAATTGATAGACTTTTTTTTGTCCTTGGTTATGCTTTAGCTTACCTAAAACCGATGATAAATAAATGACTTTAAGTATTTCTAAAAGAGGTCACTCCGATAGTCAAATTAGTACTTGTGAATATTTAATTAGTATAAGACTTGAAAAGTAAATTCATAAAGTTTCTTAGACTAAATTAATAAATGTTTAAGACAATCTAGCATTTTATGAGAGGCAAACATTTAAGACAAAGGTTCTTTAATTTCTTGTTAAATGGTAATCACCCTTCCTCAGTAGCAGTTGAAGTCTCTCTATGGTGATAGTTATGTATATTAGTCATGAATAATTATTTTTCCCTCTAATTGTCCATGGTAGAAAATTATTCTTTCTTGACTATTATTAAACCTTCTATATTATCTAGCATAGCTTTTATTCTAATCTTCTACATTCACAACCAATTAACAACAAAAACTTATGTTTTAAAACATTAAGACAAAACTATTTTCAAAACTACACATGATTTTAGAAATATTATTTTTATTTTTTTTTTTAAAGGAGAACTTGGTACGTAGTAAAAACAAATAAATAATAAATGAAAGTTAAAAATTTTAAAGTTAAACATATTTTCTAAAATAAAAGAGGGTATAAGTTTTTTTAAAAAATAAAATTGATCAGATCAAAGTTTAACTCGTTGTGATTATTAAATGAAATGAACTTAACTACTCGAGAATGTTAATCTCTCTTAAAAAGATAATAAATCTGTTGATGTTAAATCCAACTTAATCACTGCAATTGTATTAACATACTGTAAATTGAATCTTTAATCTTACTATATCAAACATGATAGATTAGTTATCATATTTTATAATACATTTATAAAATAATAAATTTTATATTATTTTTAATGAAATTCGAATTCATAATATTCTAATAAGATAGAAATATATTGATTATTAGAAGACTATGTTAATGGAATAATGTATAAGCCTTTTTAGGTCAATGGCATCCTTTTTTAATAAGCCAAAATTCAAAATGGCAATGATTGATAATTATAAAGGGTGATTTGTTTGGTGTAGACATAAAATGATATATAATTGTCGATGACCTCTGGGTAATTAAATTATTATTATTATTAGGAATTGGGGAATTCACGTTTCCATGTTTTTGGCTGATTGACTTCGTGATCATCGCTTTCTTCGTTAAAAGAAATTGAGAGGAGGGTCTTCCATCATTAACGCTGACTAATCAATAATTACTATTCTGTATTTTAATTAAAATATTAAATAATTTTTTGTTATTAATTAATTATTAAGAAAATTTTAATTTGCTTTTAACTTCTGAAAAATATCATCAACTTTTTTAATTATTAAAATAAAAAGAAACTCCCATTCCTCCTAATACATGAAAATGTAAAGCAGCACAAATGATGTGGTCTGATGTAATTCTTAACAATTAAAAATTCAAAAATTAAATGAATAAATTTGGATTTAATAAGTTTGACTCATATATTTTATTCGATATATTAATGTTTGTATTACTTTTACTTATAAAAAACCAACATAAACATTTAATTGATTACACATTATAATATTATCTTATAAATTAATTAGTTACTGCATGTTACTATTTATTTTATTTTAAGAAATTGTACATTTGAGTTAAGTTCGTATTTCATATATTTTTATTATAATATTATATTATAATTAGTATATATATGTTTATCTATAATAAATATATGAATTTTTATTAAAAACTTAAGATATTATTTTGTTTAATTTTTTATACTATTTATATTGTATTCTCGTTATAGTTATATTAAATTTGAATGTTATATACATGTAAAATAGATAATAGGTTTGTATTATAATGACTTTTATTTTAATTTGTTAACTAATAACTAATTAATTAAGTCTTCATATAAGAGTATATTTGATATTATTTAAAAATACTCTTTCGATTATCTAAACTAAATAAATTATTATTTAAAAAATATGCACTTATGAATTCAGATAAAATATTGATAATAAAAAGTAAGCTGTTTTTTTTTTTATAAAAATCAATAAAATATATTAATTAAAAATATTTTACTATTTATATTTATACTTACGTGCTATTAAATAAAGTGGATTTGAAAATAATAATTAAGTAAATTTATTAAATAAAGGCATAAGAAACTGAAAAAAGAAAAGTGTACAATGAAGTTATTTTTAAATCATTTTTTATTTTTAAATAACAAGACAAAAAAATTAAAACAAAACATTTTTTAAAGAAAAAAAATAAAATTGACTTTTTAATTCATCATGACTATCCGAATTTAATTAGCATAAAACATTTTTTTTCTGTTCATAAATGTAATAAAAGTTAAAAATTCAATTAGTATAGTAATAAACTAAATTCTTAATTTTATTAAATTAAATATTATGAATTAATTAAATCTAAATATTTATTAAACGATAATTTTTATGTTTGTAATAAAATTTAAGTAAAACATAAACTTTTTTTTTTTTTTGTTAGTTAAATGCAAAATGTTTAAAATTATTTATAACATAAATAATAAAAAAATACCTTTTGAATATTTTACTCGTGACTAAATGTGTAATTTTCTCTACCTTTTAACAGTAAGTATTCGTTCATAAAAACCATATCATTGCCATTGGCATGTAATGGATTTTGGAAAACATTAAAAGAGAAAACAAGACATTTTATCATAAATTACGAAAAAGGAAGAAACCTAAATTTGGGTCGTCGTGAGATAGGGGGGGGGAGAGGACTTGCCAGCCATCTCAGGCAGAGAGAGAGAGAGAGAGAGAGAGAGAGCGATAAAGTCTCGACAGTGAGATCTTCACGCAAACTCTTTCGACTTTGGTTCTCTCTGATATTCTTATTCTCTGCTCCAGATCTGCAATTCCCTCTTTCTTAAACTCAGAAAACTAACCCTGTACGCGAAGAAACCTTGTCTTCTTATTCAAACAATTTTTTTTTACCTTTCTGATTTTATTTCCTCCAATTGTCAAAACCAAAATAGTATCTTTTTTTTTTAAATTTGGAAAACTCTGAATTTGATGCCAATTTGTCTGAAAAAGTTGGCTTTTTATCTTAGCTTGTGACTGAATGGGGTCAGGCGAAGGAGTGGCGACTTCTTCTCATCATACAGACATGTCGATCTCAGGCAAGTTGTTCAGTTTTCTCCTTCAATTGTATCATCATCATATGTGATAACCTTTTGTCATTTTCATTTGATTTGTTGAAATCGTTGCTTCTTTATATTTGCTGATCTATGAGAAATTTTGCGATCTAGATAGAGGAGTTAGGTGGTGCGGTCAAGGATCGGATTTGAGATCGTCAAAGAAATTTTAGATTTGTTTTTCCTTTTGATTTTAGATTTTTTGTTGATTGATTGGATACTATAGCTATTTGGTAAATCAAATAGTAAATCAGTTGTTAAATTGACTGAAGGATTACATAATCAATTTTATTTGTATCTAGAAAACCGGTTAGTTCATGAGGGCTGTTTGCATAATCAAACACAAGCTGACCGCAAGCAGTTCTGTTGATTTCACTAGCGGTTTAATGGGTTGTTGGTGTATTGCAGCGGGTTAGGGTTTAAGAAGATAAGAAAATTAAAGAAAATAAAAGATAAATCCAATCTACAATTAACAGGGATTGACAATAACAACTAAAAACACGACTGTCAGGCATTTAATTCAATGAGAGGAAATCAATAGTTTTTATTCATATGATGAAGCACTTAATGTATTTTTAGGTGTTTATATGGCCTAATATGACTGGAATTCTTAATTAGAAAACAATAACAAAATAGAACTTCTAAACCAAAAAAGAACTAAAACTTTAAGAAAATGTAAAAATTTTGTGCAATGTAATAAAATATACCTATTATTTAGTAGTCCTAAATCAGTAAAAACTATTCTAGGTGGTCCCACATCGGTTATGCATGTGTTTGTGCAGTTGGGTAAGGTCGTAGTTGTAAAGAATGACATTATATATCTTGTACTTGTGATATTGTTCCTGTGATGAATCCAAGTTTTCATCTTGGAGATGTTGCTGCTGCAAGTTTAGCCATTAATTCTAATGGATATTGAGTTACACTTGCTATCAATGTACAGGTTAAGGCATCTTTCATCTTTTGGTAGTTCTCCTTAGGTGTTTCTGGGGTGAATGGTTGGTGTTCACTCTGGACTGTAGGTGAATTCTGATAAAATATTCATAGGATGATTTCATTGATTTTATGCTGAACATTTGGTAGCTTAGTGGTCAGTTGAGCTGATCAAGGATGAATTAAAGCCTGGGAATCATGTTTTATTCATTATTCTTTAGGTTCAAGTGGGTTCTGGTAAGTTCATGCGGTTATCTGGTTGATGATGTGCATTCCAGTTTCATTACTTTGCCTGGTTTCTTATCTTTTTAATCTCTTTAAATGGATTGTGCCATATTTATCTGTTCTCCTAAGCAAAGTGAAACTAGATTTATACTGTAGTAACTGTACTTTTACTTTCATCGACATTGTAAGATAAGAACCTTAAGCAAAGCGGGAAGATCTCTAGAGATTCATATCTCAATAGAGCATAAAAAGGCACATCATTTCCCATGGCCCTATGCATTTACTATTAAAGGATAATAGGAAAATGGTAGAATTAAAGTTCATCAAATGATTATTTTCATCTCATTTGTAAGAACAGTGACCATGGGTTCACCATACAGTTGTTTTTATGGACATATAAACTTTCAGAGAGTCACATGATTGTGTAAAACATGTGTGTTTTTCATATATGCTGTGTGGCGATATACTTTTCAATAATTAGAGATGGATAATTTTTACTTTTTGGGTTCATTTAGAGCATATACTTTTTTGGTATCCCATAAAATGCTGTTAGTTTGATATGAATATATACTGAATCAATCATATATGGTATATGTTATATGGTTGGCTAAGTCACTTCATGAATCATTTGTGGACTAATGATTGCATTATTACCAATTACAAAGAGTGTTATAGACATTGTTGCTGCTTTAAATGTGGCTTATAGAAACACTTACACTTTGTTGATGGACAGTGAGCTAGTAACCCTTATTCCTTGTGAATAATATATTTACTTTTCCTAAAAAATTATGATGCATGTTATAGTCTTCCTTTTGAGTGAAATGTATAAGACAATGAAGAATAGCACATAAGATGTTAGTAGTTGAAGACATGGAGTTTCCAGGTCCTCTTAAATTCTTTTGTTGATACAATTTTTGTATGTTGCAGATCTACATGAAAAGCATCGGCAAGAAATGGAAAATTTGACACTGACAATGCAACCTTTCAAAACGATGAAGTTTTTTGTTTATGCTGTTCTTCAGTATTTTAAGCGATCAATACTATATCTTTTGGCAAAGGGTGGTTGGCTTTTGCTTCTGAGTACTTTGACGATTGCACTTCTGGTTCTGCTTATGACAATTGATGGTCCTCATGAAAAGGTCAGCAATTTGGATCATAATATAGGAGCTTATATTTAGGAATGTTTTGCACGAGCTGACAGTAACATGTTATTGATGCAGATGGCATCCACTTCTGTCTTTTATTTTTTAATCTAATATAATGTTTCTCATACTAATGCAAATTCCCCAATATAATTATTGTACTCTCTATTGTGTTCTTGGCGCATGTCTTAGTACTGATAAGATTAACTTTCAACAGTCAATAAAGGTGTATGGGTTGTTAATGCAGCATGTAGAAGAACTTATGGAGTACCTCAGTTATGGTTTATGGTGGATTGCACTCGGTGTTGCATCTTCAATTGGCCTTGGTGAGCAACATCTATTTTCATGAAAACATCTCCACTACTAATTGCTTAATATGAGTTAATGATGTAATATATTGACCATGGTATTTGGTAAGTATCATAATGAGTTGCTAAGGGTAGCATATGATAAGCATTTGAAATAGTTTCCAAAAGAAACATGTAATTCGCTACAACATAAGATTGAAGTACTTGTGAGCCTGGCTTCTTTTCTTTTTCAAAATTATTGATGTATAACAAAATTCAGATGATCTTCCTACTTAAAATGAGGGGTTTAAACCTAGAGATCACACTTTGAGAATGGATTGCATCACATATGACAAACCTACTGACAAAATGATCTGGATATATTCTATCCTCTAAAAAGAAGTCACAATATTTATGGATTCTTATGAAATCATGATCTAACCAAGACCAGAAACTCTATAGGAAACCTCAAGGAATTCAAAACCATAAACATAAATAACACCTGAACACTAAATAAAACCTTAATGCTACTAAAACTGAAAATTTGTTTACATGAATTAAAACTTGCCATTCTGGTTCGCTTATTATCGGTGCATTCTGTCACCATTACGCATATTTCTGATTATATGCCAGTGACTGAACTTATCTTAATAACAGCTTGTTCTGATATATCTTTTGCTTTTTTCTTTTTCCAGGATCTGGTCTGCACACTTTTGTTCTTTATTTGGGCCCTCATATTGCCCTCTTTACTATAAAAGCTGTACAGTGTGGCCGAGTTGATTTAAAAAGTGCTCCATACGATACAATACAGTTGAAGAGAGTTCCTTCATGGCTTGATAAATCATGCTCTGAATTTGGGCCTCCATTATTTCTATCCCGTGTCCCACTTAGCAGTATATTGCCACAGGTACAGATAGAGGCCATTCTATGGGGTGTTGGGACTGCACTTGGAGAGCTCCCTCCTTATTTTATCTCAAGGGCAGGTATGAACTCTTCATGTTACATATTTGAAGTAGATTTTTAACAAAAAAATTTGCCTGACATTATACTTCCCAACAAAATCTGTTTGAAGTTAGCTAGGGGATGCAATTTATTTCTGTTGTTGCAGCATGCATGAATTTAAGATTTTATGTGTCTGGCATGTTATGTGCATGTACTTTTGTCTTCTAATCCAACTTTGCTATGGTCTACATGAAAATTTGTTTTAGCTTCAAAGTTTGCAACCTCAACTCCTTTTCTGTATATTTCCTTTTACTATTTCCTAGTGTGTATGCCACATGGTTACAACAGAATGAATGAACCATTTTAGGATTTTTGCAACATGTCTCATATGTTCTGATGGGCATGTTCATTACAGGGAAGCATTAGCACATTGCTATTTGAAATGGATCTCATCAACTTTGTTTCTCGACATGTTTTGTAAGTTCTGTGAGTGTTCACCGTGGATACTGACTAGGAAACAAAGCAGTTTTAAGAACCACAATCTGTTGTTCTGTATAATGTTTGGAAATCATATTTGCTTTATTTAGGTAAAGCAGCTTTCCCATCAAAGTAAC